CTCTCTCTCTCTCTCTCTCTCTCTCTCTCTCTCTGCTTTTCCCTTCCCAAGTACAAAAAACATTGGGATTTGGATAAGAAATCACCTCAATCCTCTCAACCCCATCTTCATCAGTCCAGATCCTGTTGGGTATACGCTGGCGAGCAGCTCGGTTCCTGCTTTCCTGACCATAGCCAGTTATCGGAGAACCAATTCTCGCTCGAACCTGGTCAAGCCCAATAGGAAAGGATTAAAGGAATATCAACTTCCAGAAAATATACACGGACATACACATACTTATGCACATGCATACCTACATCTATACATGAACTATATAAGCAGATGTGTGCATGCAAATATGCATATGCATACATGCACACACAGATTTTCTAGCCTTAATAATCCAAAGGCCAATAGGTTAAGGTTAAAAGGGAGTGTTAATGGTGAAGTTATGGAAAATATCCTTAAAAACATTAATGTTTTATTTGGAAGTTTGTACACAGAGATAATAGGGGGATATTTGAAAATTCAGTAAAAAGCAGGGTGTTTATTTATAACACAGTAAATGGCACAAATAAGGTAGTTCTGATGGTTCCATGTAGTTCTGATGGTTCCATGCCAGCCTAGATTTAAATAAAAGTTTCTATAAATAATTATAATATTTATGTCGTGGAGATAGCTCTTTGAAACATCTTTTTTCATGTCCACCAAAAAAATGGGTATCGATCATGGTTCAAGAACCCAACACACACATTCAACCAGTTTTAGAATACTTGGAATGAGTTTATGGATTCACCATGTAACATGGTCAACTTGGCTGGGTGCATGAAACCTCAACAAGATTTGCTTATAAATTCATTGCCTTTTTTATTTTTTTTCAAAATCGTTACTAATAAAATGAAGTGCATACCTATTTAGTCCCATATTCAAAATTCTATTTTTAGGCCTTTTTTTATTAGAAAACACCACCTTTTGTAACAGTTTTAAATTGATTTTTAATTATTATAGAAAGTACTCGATAATATCTACAATATACAGGCGTTTGTTGTATATAAGCAAAAAATTCTTTGATAGAGTTCTGTATCATACAACCCCAGCCATCCCTTGTTGACATCAGACAGCTGGGGTGGTGTAATGGGACTGTGAAAAACAATTTGCCGATTGCGCATATGTCCTATATACAATGTACATTGGTGTACTTGTATTGAACAATCACTCGAGATACCTCTATTTTCCTCTTGAACCTCGTCCTTCTAGTGTGAACCTTTTATCAGGTAGTGATTTCATTTTCTTTATTGATTTCATACACTATTAATAATATATAATAAGCTAACAACCTATGAAATTTTCAAGCAAGAATAAAATGACAAAGAATATGATGATATTGAAAATGATGGTAATATTGAAAATGATGGTAATAGTATAAGAAGAAGAATTAATAAATACTTCCTTTTTTTAAACTAAGAATTAATAAATACTTTAGACCTTGTCTACAAAAGAAATGATTGCTGAAAATTAAATATATCAAATAAATAACTTCGTGACTAAGAAAATTATCACTAGAATATATCATCCTTATTTATCACTACAATATCCACGTTGTATTCCACCATCAAATACTCTATACATATACAAACCAAGTCATTCAAGCCAAGTGAGATCAAGATTACCATGTTCAGCAGACAAATACGTACAAGGTGGATGTATTGCTTGTAAAGATGTTGTTAATGCCCCATCTCACTTAAAGCTAATGATTTTTGGTCGGATGATACATGTACAGACTTTTGAAACGCACGCGTCCACACGAATTCTTTAGAAAGAAAAGTCATTACGAACCTGGCTATCATTCTTAATCCTTTCCAAAGCCTTCCCAAAAACCTTGTACCTGGATCACAAACCAATTAACAACAAATCTAAATAAGGAAAAAATTTATATAAGGTTGCAAGCTTAAGATGTAGAACTACAAATGCACCTCAAAAATCCATCGAAAAAAATTATTTTAGTGTTTAAAAACCCTCTAATTGAACATCTCAATATCGAGATGTATGATTATGAAAGAAAAAATGATTTTGAGTCCCAGAAATAGTGCGTCTTACAATACATTATCCAGACCATCCATTTTTTAAATTTTCATATGTTTATAGGTCTATTTGATTTTAACCATTTTTGGAGTTCAAAATTTTATAATTAGATATGAAAATAGATTTTGAGATAATCCTAAGAATATTTTAAATCAAAATTATATGTTATGATCAAATTTGAAGGTGCACCTTAATTGGATTGTTTAAGGTTGCAACCTTATGGAAACCACACCCATCTAATAATGAAAACTAATGAAAAAATGTATAATAATGGTTTCTTTTACATCTTTTATCATAGTTTTTAGCTCTATGGTTACAATTTCCCATTTAGATTATAGTATCAAAAGTGTCAAACCTTTTAGCTCAGTATTTACAACATTCTCTCACATTGTAAACCCACAAGAGACTAATGACATCATGCCCAACATATAAATTTATGTCCATTCACTCCATGGAACAAATTCATAGCTCACACTGCCAACCTGACCTAGATTATGGTAACAATTCAAAAATAACAAAATCAAGTTCGGGGAAAAATTAAAACAAACAATGCTCCATTATGACAAACAATGCTCACAAGAAAGAAAAAATATTTTGACAGTCATTTTGATATAGACACAAAAACCACATTATGTCAGACAATTAACAAACTTCTCCTCAAATCAATGAAAGAGAGAGAGGGGCAATCAACTTCTGCTCCAGCCCCACCTGGCAAACATCTCTCTTCCATTCTAGTGGAGCTAGCGAATAAATTTATTTTTTTTATTTTCTCAAAATAAGTCAGGTAATTAACCGACTGTTCAAGATAATATGCAAACGTCACTTCAGAAAGAGATGAGTATGCCATTTTTTGACAACATATGGTGGCTTTTAACATTTCCCAAAACAAATTTCTCTTGAAACCCATAATTTTTTTTGAGAAACATTAACTTTCTAGAAACCCATAATTATTTCAATTTTTTCATAATCATTTCAGAATTGGTTCTACTTGTACTCCCCTTATTTCCAAAACTAGAATTCCCCATGTTATCACCATATATAGAAAAAGAGAACCAGATTTTATCCTTTCAACAGTCACTACACAACACATTCTTGTTTCCTAAGGATGAGGGAGAAAGGGAGGGGGGAGGGGGGAGGGGGGAGGGGGGTGGGTGGGAGAGAGAGAGTGTGTGTATGAAAATAGTCTCACTCTTTTGGTTCAAAAATGAGCTCCGTACACACAACATATGCTGCAGCTGCTGCAATGCCGAGCCCTGCAAGTATGAAGATACCGTATGAAGCACCCTCTACAAATGTCACGGGTTTCTCAGGAATATTATAAGTGGGGGCATCATCAAACGGCTCATCTATTGCAGATATATCTTTCCTCTTGCCCTGCAGAGTACAGCAGAGAGGCTAATGGTTATAAAGCAAGCATTTTTCAATTAAAGTTGGACATAGGAATGAAAACTTAATATTCTAGGTATAGATCACTTGGAAATCCCTCAACAAAGACATCGAAACCAAAAAGATAAAAGCAAAGAATATCTTTGCATTCTGAAGTTTGCACCATACCAAGCTAAATGGTTTAACCATTAAGTATACAATAGTTCATTCGAGCATCGAAAAACAAATTGGGTTATCACTGACCATTGAAATGGTAAGTGATGGAGTGAGAGTTGAGACCTTCCACTCGGATCATGACTCAGTCTGAAGAATCCAACACTCCCCATAACCTTCCATCATTTCGACAGATGGTGATGACCCAATGGACTATGATTTATACACAGTCCAAGGATTATAGTATACTTTCTCTTAATGTATAATACATGCACTTCGATCAAAACTTTCGCGCTCGCTCTTGACATTATGTAGAAATCTAGACACTTTGGTTCTACTTCTCAAATAACCTGATGCCTCGAGCATCATCAAGCCTAAGCATATTTAAACTTATAGTAAATTCTAGAACTGTTTAGCCTGCTCTCGAATCTTTCACCTATTCCAAGCCTAAAAAATCTTTAAGCCTTCCCAAGCACAACTAGACAAGACAATGTCAAGCTTCCACACACAATTGCAACCTTGCCTCAGATGGCAGATACAGAAACATGACACCTTGTCAAAAGTGGAATGACATATACAAGAGTAAACATCCCATTTCAAGCGGCTTAAGGAATTAGAGGTGTGCATGATCCACTCATGATGGACATAGTTATTTTGTTCCATATTGACATTCAACTGTTCAAAGCTCCCTTCCCTCCAGCCCCTCCGGCATTATCAAGCCCAAGCATATTCAGGGAACTTATACTAAATTCTAGAACTATTTAGCCTGCTGTTGATTCTTTAACCTCTTCTAAGCCTGGAAAACTCTCAAGCCTTCCAAAGCGTGACTAAACAAGACAACATCACACTTCCAGTCTCAATTGGATCCTTGTCACAGATGACAGATACAGAAACAAAAGATAGCATACAAGAATAAACATCCCATCTCAACCATCTTAAGGAATTGGCAATGCACGTGATTCACTCCTGATAGACATATTTATGATTCAACTGTGTCCCTCCCTTTGATGAGAAAGCTGACCAAATGTGTAAAGTTATTGACAACAATATTTGGGGGTGAAGCCAACGAGAGAATGTGAACAAAGAGCTGGCTCATGGCATTAACAGTAGCTGAAAAAATAAATAGAGCAGTAATGACTAGAACGGTAAAGACACAGTGTTGAAGTCAAATTCAAATTCAAGATGGAGGAGCCATGATTTTTACCCCTTCTTGTCTAGATGACTCTGTAGCTGAGCTCGATGACAGTGTTCTTGCAAAGTATGGAACTATCATTTTATCTTTAGAGAATTTATCAAGGCAGTTTGAGGCATGTAATCCAGTGACAAGTTGTCTGCAGTGCCCTTGCAGAAATGATGAGATTCCTGCAAATGCATATTTGAATTCAATAAAATTATTGTTTGGCCAACGCATCATGTGAATAATGCACTAAAAGAAAGAAATTGAGATAAGATTACCAATTACAGTACAGGTATAATTTAAAGTATGCATTCTCAGGGAGAATCCATGCATCAATATACTTGACTACCTTCGTGTCTAGTCATTATAATATACATATTTGTACGTAGGTAAATGAAGACAAAAAAAGACAAGCATAACAAAGATTGAGTGATCTAATACTCAAGCATGCATTCTTAGGGAGAACCATGCATCAATATACTTGACTACCTTTGTGTCTAGTCATTATAATATATATATTTGTATGTAGGTAAATGAAGACAAAAAAAGACTAGCATAACCAAGATTGAGTGATTTAATACTCAAGGTGTTATTCCCAATCTGCAGTTTCTGATTCCTTGTCAACTTTATTAATCATTTTAACCCATTAAAAAAATAAAATGGATTTAAAGACCCCAAAATAATGAAAAAAAGTCATGTTTCTAATGCAATCATATTAGATTGACATCACAGATACATTCTTGAGAGAAGCAAAGCGGAGACACAAGCAGGTATAAGCAGGCAAAGATGCAACAAACACTCAGCAAGCATCAGGAGCAACAGATATATGAAAAACAATAAACACAAACTAAAGAAACTGAAATCAAAAAACCAATTGGAGTTAAGGTCATCCCCATGGTGGTACTGATATTTGAAACAAAAGCAGCATGTGTTGCATACAATGACTTAGAAAATTTGCATGACACAGTATTTATAACAAGGGAAAATTATAAATACCCCCACAAAATAAACTTTGCACACATCCTACCATCCAATAATTTTAATATCACACAATAAACCCAAACACTGTTTGTTCTTACATTTAACCCCCTAGTCAAAAAGTAAAAAAATTTAGACTGAATGGCCTTTTTATTCTCTCTACCCACCCTCTCTTTATCTCTACAAGCTGGAAATCTAACACTTTTTAATTCTCTCCTCTCTCTCTCTCTCTATGCACGTGGAGGTATTTTTATTCTCTCTCTCTCTCTCT